ATCCCCTGACTGTTCTAATCAAGTTTCGTTGTATAATGAACACCTACTAACACGTAATGGTTCGAACACTGAGGACTTCTTTGTTTATCCCCGATTGTTCTTATCAAGTTTCGTTGTATAATGCACACCTACTAACACGTAATGGTTCGAACACTGAGGACTTCTTTGTTTATCCCTGACTGTTCTAATCAAGTTTCGTTGTATAATGCACACCTACTAACACTTAATGGTTCGAACACTGAGGACTACTTTGTTTATCCCCGACTGTTCTAATCAAGTTTCGTTCTATAATGCACACCTACTCCAAGAATGGAGCTTTGTGGTACTACATTAGCAAGAATTGAGCTCTGAGGAAGTACATGAGTAAATAAACGTTATGGACAAGAATGGAGCTCTGTGGTGCTACATTAGTAAATAAACGTTATGGACCAAGAATGGAGCTCTGTGGTACTACATTAGCAAATAAACGTTATGGACCAAGAATGGAGCTCTGAGGAAGTACATGAGAAAATAAACGTTATGGACCAAGAATGGAGCTCTGAGGTACTACATTAGTAAATAAACGTTATGGACCAAGAATAGAGCTCTGAGGAAGTACATGAGTAAATAAACGTTATGGACCAAGAATATAGCTCCGAGGAAGTACATGAGTAAATAAACGTTATGGACCAAGAATGGAGCTCTGAGGAAGTACATGAGTAAATAAATGTTATGGACCAAGAATGGAGCTCTGAGGAAGTACATGAGTAAATAAACGATATGGACCAAGAACGGAGCTCTGAGGAAGTACATGAGTAAATAAACGTTATGGACCAAGAAGGGAGCTCTGTGGAATTACATTGGTAAATAAACGTTATGGACCAAGAATGGAGCTCTGTGGTATTACATTGGTAAATAAACGTTATGGACCAAGAATGGAGCTTCGAGGAAGTACATGAGTAAATAAACGTTATGGACAAACAATGGAGCTCTGTGGTATTACATTGGTAAATAAACGTTATGGACCAAGTATAGTGCTCTGAGGAAGTACATGAGTAAATAAACGTTATGGACCAAGAATGGAGCTCCGAGGAAGTACATGAGTAAATAAACGTTATGGACCAAGAATAGAGCTCCGAGGAGTACATGAGTAAATAAACGTTATGGACCAAGAATGGAGCTCTGTGGTACTACATGAGTAAATAAACGTTATGGACCAAGAATGGAGCTCTGAGGAAGTACATGAGTAAATAAACGTTATGGACCAAGAATCGAGCTCTGAGGATGTACATGAGTAAATAAACGTTATTGACCAAGAATGGAGCTCTGAGGAAGTACATGAGTAAATAAACGTTATTGACCAAGAATAGAGCTCTGAGGAAGTACACGAGTAAATAAACGTTATGGACCAAGAATAGAGCTCTGAGGAAGTACACGAGTAAATAAACCTTATGGACCAAGAATAGAGCTCTGAGGAAGTACATGAGTAAATAAACGTTATTGACCAAGAATGGAGCTCTGTGGTACTACATTAGTAAATAAACACTATGGACCAAGAATGGAGCTCTGTGGTACTACATTAGTAAATAAACACTATGGACCAAGAATGGAGCTCTGCGGTACTACATTAGTAAATAAACACTATGGACCAAGAATGGAACCCTTTTGGTTCTTAGTAAGATAACACCGGGGCTAGAAACTGCAACCTTGCAATTCCTGCGGCTAAGGCAATCTGTAGTTACTCCAAACGATTATAACTTCGGTAATAACCCTATCAAATGTTTTTAATAATTTGTAAAATACTAAACACTGTCTGGAGAATGAATTATTTATGAAAAGGTGCACAACTTTTGCTGTATTTTTTTATTTGTGAATATAATTTAATCAGAAGATGTGTCCAAAAGAAAATCAACTGGTTTACAGAGTGAGATGTGTACTTTATCATATGATGACGTATCTTACTTCAGTAGCGTCCATTCTCAAGTTTTCCCAGGTGTTCCGTTCCAGATGAAACTTCAGTGATGGAACAGAAATGTCCGATAGGAAGATCTGCTTCTTAGTATTTTCTATTAAAATATTGTGAGATATGGGGTGAACTAAAGAGGGTATAGATTGAGACAAACCAGGCCCATAAAAGAAGTCCTCAACAGATCTCGGATCAGCCCAACACTAGTGCTCAGTATAGTTCATTGAATATTTTTGTAATTTTTCAGACGAGCTTGATTTTTTGTTCATTTTTTTTCTTTTTTTTGTCTTTGTATGGGCCTTATCAATGTCTTTGATTATTCCGTCTTTGCGTATTGCAGAGTTATCTTTTCTTGGGACCAGGTATTGATTGTTACGTCACTTGTTTGTGAGAGTAACGTCATCAATTTTCTCACACAAACCAATGACGTAACAATCAATACCTGCTCCCAAGAGAAGATAACGCTGCAATACGCAAAGACGGAATATTTGTTGATAAAGCATTTTCAAGAAACCGGTCTCTTACTTTTGATGTTTTTGCGAAGGTTTGACGTATCTTATGGTTTATTGTTTGGTTTCCCAATCAAGTCAACAGTAGGGTACATATAGAGGCGAAAAAGACTCTGATCCTGACTGTTGTCATCCGCCAGTGACTTCACTGGAAAGAAAATCAAATGAGTATGTTCCTTTGTAGGAGTAAACTGTAATCAATTGATCACCTGCTGTGTACACATAGATATGTTGTGGTTACTTAAAAGGTAAGTATTGTTTTTACATGCACTGCCGAGTTGTCCGGTTATAATCTGATTTGAGTTCATTTAAACTTGCATACCATGATTCGGTAATAAGTATTTGCAACATGTTGTGATATTAAAGTTCCTTAAAAGTGCACAACTTTTTTCGATATTTTCGCTGGTGTTTAGAATTCGCGGATATTTGTCAAAGTGTGAATATATCGAAATTAAAAAATCCGCGAAATATAACCGCTATACAGTACTTGGTTCTGAAATAACATTTGTTTAGCTGTAATTGGAAATTACATATGGCAATATGTGTCTTTGAGTAAAGCATACATGAATTGAAATTTAATGAAAATGTTAATTCAATTATTGAGCAATACAATTTGATGTCAGACATTAATAAACACTGTTCAACAACTTGTGAAATCTGCTGGTCCGCCCCAATCTACTACACAGCAATAGAAATTTTCAAGAAAGCTAGGCTTCTTCAAATATTTCTGATCATTCACTGAAGTTGATAACAATACAGAAATGTCGATTATTATCAACAGGAAAGCGCCACATTGTTCCTACACACCCATGTACTTCATGTCAAGTCATTCTACTGAGCACCAGTCTGGTTTTATGCCAGGTCATTCTACTGAGCACCAGTCTGGTTTAATGCCAGGTCATTCTACTGGGCACCAGTCTGGTTTAATGTCAGGTCATTCTACTGGGCACCAGTCTGGTTTCATGTCAAGTCATTCTACTGAGCACCAGTCTGGTTTAATGCCAGGTCATTCTACTGAGCACCAGTCTGGTTTTATGCCAGGTCATTCTACTGAGCACCAGTCTGGTTTTATGCCAGGTCATTCTACTGAGCACCAGTCTGGTTTCATGTCATGTCTTTCTACTGAGCACAAGTTTCCATGTGTTTCGTGGTGGAGTGCCATGCCACAGTGTCCAGGTTATGTTTCATGATGGAGTGCTATGCCACAGTGTCCAGGTTATGTTTTATGATGGAGTGCCATGCCACAGTGTCCAGGTACTGTTTCATGGTGGAGTGCCATGCCACAGTGTCCAGGTTATGTTTCATGATGGAGTGTCATGTCACAGTTTTCAGGTTCTGTTTCGTTGTGGAGTGCCATGCCAAAGTGTCCAGGTTCTGTTTCATGATGTAGTGCCATGCCACCGTGTCCAGGTTCAGTTTCATGATGGAGTGCCATGCCACCGTGTCCATGTTCTGTTTCGTGGTGGAGTGCCATGCCACAGTGTCCAGGTTCTGTTTCATGAAGGAGTGCCATGCCACACTGTCCAGGTTCTGTTTCATGATGGAGTGCCATGCCACACTGTCCAGGTTCTGTTTCGTGGTGGAGTTTTATGCCATACTGTCCAGGTTCTGTTTTGTGGTGGAGTGCCATGCCACAGTGTCCAGGTACTGTTTCGTCGTGGAGTGCCATGCCACACTGTCCAGGTTCTGTTTTGTGGTGCAGTGCCATGCCAGTGTTTCTGTGAAATGGCATCTGTGGGCACTCTATCATACGGTCTCAGCTGCTGTGTGGACCGAAGACGTCTATATTCCTCCACTTGACATTTTATAATTTATCCTTTGTTCATTATGGACATTTGGTACAAAGATACTGTTCGACTGAAGTTAAATACCTAGCAGACATGCTTGGGAAACCCCCTAGCTGGTAAACTCAGCTTCATTTATTATACATGTACATAAATATGCATGCAATCACCAATTGAGCTTAGCCTGGAACTCAATTGATCCATCAGAAGTGAGCAGCCAGGGAATTTGCCTAAATACGCATGTGGTAATTTGGAAATAAAATATACACAATTTTCGGCTTTTTTTTGGAGATTTATAGCACAGAAACCAACAAACAGAAAGGAACAGTGTAGCTTCTTCTGCTTTAATATGACAACAAGAGTCCCAATGGTACTGCATCATTAACCTGGTGTACACATTTGTAACCTTACAAGTGGACTAAAATAAAGTTGCTGGCCAAATATCAGTATCAATGACTGCAAGACATTCAAAACAACCTGTTATAAGATTTAAACACATTTGACCACTGTGACCTTGAAAGTCTAACAATATCATTCAATTAAACAAACTTAGCCCTTCATCCCAGCATGCAAATTGCCAATTATCACCACCTTAGATCTTTTGTATATTGAGATGAGGTCATTTAGAGGTTCATACACATTTGACCATGTTACCTTGAAAGTGGGTTAAGGTAATTCACATGAACAAAATTAATTGCTCATCTGAATATGCCACTGGCCAAATATCACCACCCTATACATTTGGTTATTCAGAAGAAGTTGTATAAATGTTTTTAACATATTTAATGCCTGTGACCTTGAATGTGTTGATGAAGGTCATTCATTTGAACAAACCTTGCAGCTCTTGTCTAAGAATTTATCACCATCCTAGGCTGTTTGGTTATTTTTTCAAAACATTTTTGAGATTTTACACAGATTTAACACATGTTTTAACATGTTTCCTCCAATGACCTTGAAGATGTCGGGAGCCGACATTGTAATTGACTCTGATGCCAAGAGCTGACATTGCAATTGACACTGACATCGTGAGCCGACATTGTAATTGACACCGACATCGTGAGCCGACATTGTAATTGACACCGACATCGTGAGCCTACATTGTAATTGACACTGATGCCAGGGGTCGACATTGTAATTGACACCGACATCGTGAGCCGACATTGTAATTGACACCGACATCGTGAGCCTACATTGTAATTGACTCTGACATCAGGAGCTGACTTTGTAATTGACTCTGATGTCAGGAGCTGACTTTGTAATTGACTCTGATGCCAGGAGCTGACTTTGTAATTGACTCTGATGTCACGAGCTGACTTTGTAATTGACACTGATGTCAGGAACTGGATTCCATGGCTTGACATTGCAATTGACACTGGGCAATGTCTCTCAGTGCACTTTGTATCTGCTCTAAAAGTCCTTCTCCTTTACTGACAATGTCCTCCAAATTCTTGGCTGTATCTTGATTTTCTGCTTCTAACTTCTTTAAAGTTGCAATCTGAAATTCCACAGGAGATATACTTCTTGTTATGATGTGAAAAGAGGTTTTTGGTTATATACAACATTTCAATTATCATTTTGTATATACATCTATATTTTACCTATGTTTATACAGATCTTGGACATGTAAGTGATTTGATAGTGTGTTGAGGCGTTTCAATGTTGTCTGACGTAACTTGGTGATTTTACCTGTAGCTCTAAGGAAGAGTCCTCTATAGGTACAGACTCGATCAGCACGTCAATGTCTTTTGCTGTTCTGGCAATAAGTTTTGCAAAAATGGCTGCATAATCTGAAAATTAGACATAAAAAAAAAGAAATATAGATTCCATTCAAACCAAAGTGAAATTAATAGTAATCTCAGTGTTTGAACTTTGATAAATTGACAGCCCTACAATCATATCTGTCTTTGAACGTTGATAAATTGACAGCCCTACAATCATATGTGTCTCTGAACTGTGATAAATTGACAGCCCTACAATCATATCTGTCTTTGAACGTTGATAAATTGACAGCCCTACAATCATATGTGTCTCTGAACTGTGATAAATTGACAGCCCTACAATCATATCTGACTATGAACTTTGATAAATTGACAGCCCTAAAATCATATCTGTCTATGAACTTTGATAAATTGACAGCCCTACAATCATATCTGCCTATGAACTGTGATAAATTGACAGCCCTACAATCATATGTGTCTCTGAACTGTGATAAATTGACAGCCCTACAATCATATCTGTCTTTGAACTTTGATAAATAGACAGCCCTACAATCATATCTGTCTATGAACTTTGATAAATTGACAGCCCTAAAATCATATCTGTCTATGAACTTTGATAAATTGACAGCCCTTCAATCATATCTGTCTTTGAACTTTGATAAATAGACAGCCCTACAATCATATCTGTCTATGAGCTTTGATAAATTGACAGCCCTACAATCTTATCTGTCTTTGAACTTTGATAAATTGACAGCCCTTCAATCATATCTGTCTATGAACTGTGATAAATTGACAGCCCTACAATCATATCTGTCTATGAGCTTTGATAAATTGACAGCCCTACAATCTTATCTGTCTTTGAACTTTGATAAATTGACAGCCCTTCAATCATATCTGTCTATGAACTGTGATAAATTGACAGCCCTACAATCATATCTGTCTATTTCTATACATAACAAGCAGGTTTGTGGAATTGATATTTCCTGCTCTCAGAACAATGTTGTAGTTTGTTTTATTTCATTAAGTTTGGTTTGAGACATATTTTGCCAATACGTTATGTCCATACCAATTTTGGTCACTATGGATCTGCACACAGGGACGTGTCACATGCTATGTAATGGAAGAGGTTGCCAGCCAATATATACCTCACCTTCAGTAAAACAGACATTACTCGGCCAAATACAGCTGGATTTTATAATGTTTGGTACCAAATTCACGTGGAATAAATTATCTTCAAAGAAAATCCAATTCCAGTTACCTAGGGTTATGTTTAATTTTCATACACTGTACTCATTGTGAACACAAAGATACCCTGGACATTTCAGCTATGTACATTTATTTTATCCATTTAGTGGTGACAAAAAAAACACATACAAATACAGAGTCCTGATAATAAATCATGCATACACTGGCAGATAATTTCTATCAAGCAAACTTTCCTTGAAATGGAACTAGGTACCATTTAATTTTGACTACCTTGTACTATGAGATCCAGAGCTCCCAGATAGATGTTGACTACCTTGTACTATGAGGAGAGCACCCAGATAGATTTTGACTACCTTGTACTATGAGGAGAGCTCCCAGATAGATGTTGACTACCTTGTACTATGAGGAGAGCTCCCAGATAGATGTTGACTACCTTGTACTATGAGGAGAGCTCCCAGATAGATGTTGACTACCTTGTACTATGAGGAGAGCTCCCAGATAGATGTTGACTACCTTGTACTATGAGGAGAGCTCCCAGATAGATGTTGACTACCTTGTACTATGAGGAGAGCTCCCAGATAGATGTTGACTACCTTGTACTATGAGGAGAGCTCCCAGATAGATGTTGACTACCTTGTACTATGAGGAGAGCTCCCAGATAGATGTTGACACTCACTGTTGTATCAATCTCATTAGTTCTTTGTAAGATCTTTTCCCTTATCTATTGGACAGGTGTCCACAGTAAATGCATGATGCAGTAACTTTGTATCAAAATCTAATGTTTTCTTTGACAATGTCCTTTCAAAGTCAAAAGAGATTTCTAATTTCTGTTGGCCAATTTTTTCTTCTGATCAAGCAGCTTGAAGTAACAAGAGGCCCATGGGCCTTAACGGTCACCTGATATATTTATACAGAGAGTTAATTTTGTTTTTAACATGTACAGAAATATTATTCAAAGTGACAAAAAACAATAAAACCACCTTATTCAATATCTAGCATACAGATTTAAGACTAAAAAGTATTTGAAACTAGCACCTCTGATTCTAAACAAGGAAAATGAAGAAATTTTAGCACACTGACTCCTTTGGGCCCCACCCTACAGCCCTTGGGGGTAGGGCTGGCTCAAAATTTTCAAAGTATCAAACTGTCAACTCA